GCAGCGGCGAGTAGCTATGGAGTCGCGAAAAGAGCGAGAGGGAGCGATGGTCGGCCGTGTGCATTGGAATTTGCGGGCGAGATCACCACTACATAGGCGTCGTAGGTGTCGTAGGTGTGCTATCGCCGGAGCTACGAGTGTGCCTTCTTCCCTCAAGGGTCGTTGCATCCACTTCATAATGTGAAGTGTGCTCGCCTCGTTAGGGGGGTATCTTGCGCCTATCCCTGCAAAAGTATCTATGCTATGAACGGATGAACTATGAACACTTCTTCAATTTACATTAATTTCCGTTCTGCAGGTTAGGCAGAACTTACGAATTCTACCTTAATTAAAATGCATCGCTCTTATCATCGATTTTCCGTGAATTCTTCCATAACTTTCTCGTTCTAACGTCATTCAACTTAATACGTAGAGAATGTAGGGCAACAAATGATAATGTTAAACTTTCAATATTTCATTTTACATTCTTGTTTAATTTATTATACAATCGAGACTATCGAATATCGTATACAATAATACGGTAAATTAATTTTTATTTGAAAATTATAATTCAATAAAAAATTCCTATTAAGTTGTTGATAATGTTCTATCGCACCCCGCCACCGCCTCCCTCGAATACCTATACGAATTCTGATTTTTATATGTATTTCTTTACGACTTCTTATCTTTTCTCTTCCATTTATTCACATAAACATCTCGATGCATTTATTTTCAAATACCTTCTCTATAAATGTATACCGGATCTTACGTTTTACTTGCAGAAGTTTTATTATGATTTTGCATATCTGTATCGAGAATGAAAGTTTATCTAATTAGTTTGATTGGTAACCAACACGTACGTTACGTGCACTATAAGATTAAAAGTTTTATTATAAACAAAGTGTATACTTTGAGGGGATATGCTTTATAACGCAAAGAAAAGATTTATTATCGTTGGGACGTAAAATTGTAACTGGAAATATATTATGATCACAATATTTGATTATGCGATTGGGCATGCGTCCACGAGTGCGCATGTGTGCGCATGTGTGCGCATTGCTTTTGTACGTTGCACAGTTTAATTTGAATGTGCATGCATAGCAGTGAAAATGCCTGACAGAGATAGAGGACCGAGCAGTTTGAATATGTTCCGCGAGATGGCGAAGAGTTACACCTTCTCATTTTTTTTTATTGAGACACGGTAATATTGTTTTAAAATAAAAAAAAAAATTTTAAGAATTTAATTTTATATAAACTAATAACAATAACAATAATAATAATAATAATTACTATTACTATTATTATTATTATTATTATTATTATTATTATTATTATTAACAATTAACAATTTATAATTAATTAATAATTAATAATAAATAACAACTACAATTATAACAACAATTAAAATTCATAGAGTAGTAACGGATAATCATGCATGGAGAATTGTTTGAAAATGTATGCATAAACCCATTAAAAATACTTCGTTACGCGGATAATTGAAAAAGTGGCGGTAGAGAGGCATTTTACGCATTGCCACTAATGTTCGTATAGCGTATGTTAAAATACCTGAATTGGAAATTACAATAATACAAATTAATTGTATAAATGATTCGTAATGTTTGTCATTCCTTGCTCGTTATTGTGGCATTGGATCGACTCGTAAAATAAAATTGATATTGTTACAATTGATAGTCTCGAGACAGCGGTAGGACTCACCACCGCCCTCGCATTACCTACCATCCAGTTTACAAGTGCAAGTGCTTAAATACAGTCCGTATATATTTTTCCAAAATTTCGATGGCCTGCGTCACAATGAAGAAAACAGCTGTTTCTCTGTATGTTCTTTGAATTTTCGCACCTTCGCTCCTGCCAACGCGACGAGCTGCAACCGACGCGGCCGCGCATGCGCGCCAATTGAAAAAATCGAGCGAGCGCGGTTTCGTAAAACTACGGCGAAGGTCGGGAGGGTGGGGTGACGAGTGAGTGAGAGGGAGAACGCGCGCGCGCGCGCGCCCTACAATGGTCGTTTATCTTTTTGTTTTTACGCCATTCGTCAATCCTCTTTGAAATGCTCGTGCTCCTGTAGCTCGGACGCATTCACACAGACGCGGAGGGTGATTTGGTGTGTATCGCGTGCTGCGCGTACGTTGAAATTGAAACTCGAAAGTCGAAAGCTTGAAACAGCCGCTCGTGCGCGCAACGCGGGAGAGACGACGAGGGTAGAGCGGGGCTACGACGGCTGCGACGAAGACGGGGACAGCGGTGGCGGCAACGGCGGGACAATGGTTGCACTCGGAGGGGAAGAGAGAGGACGTAATTTTCATTATCCAACCGTTGTTTCGCTCGAGATTGATAACTGAAAGTTTAGCGTCTTTTGGTGGAACGGCAGCCTCGGGCAGGAACTGGATAACAGGGCGAGTTCCTCGCTACGTGGAAGCTTACTACCTGCTGTTGAATCCGCGCACCTCGTCGTAGAAGAGGAGATGCGTCGACACGGCAATATCTTATCGCGATATATAGGACGGGGAATTGCGGTGCTTAGGAGTGATTTTCATCAACGGAGCTCTCCTCCACTGTATTTTGACGCATGACTGCAAGCGGTCTCCAGCAGGATTCTTGTGTGCAGCCGTCCTAACCTTGCACCGAGGGAGAAAAGAGCGAGAAGATTGTGTTTTGTTATGATACCAACTGCTTTTCCATCATTTTCTTCAAATTCTCGTTAACCACAAGATTGCAGTACAGTGGCTTGTTATATTTCCAATTTGTGGATGTGCTAGTCAATTAATGCACCTTCGTAAATGTATATAGCACGTACAATGTTATTCCAGTTTGATTGAACTATTGCAAAGATTTTCGATCGAGAATTTTCTCTTTCGTTACAAAATGATGAAACAGGGCACTTTTCACTGTATCGTAATAACGTTGCATGATCATATTTCTAATTATACATTGGAAATCTTGCAGACTTGAAAGTTGGATTAAACATGTAATAATTTGGCTAATTTTATGCTTGCTCTGTAAATTTCTTCATTAAACTATTTGACATTATTTTAATAAGTTTATTATTAGCATTAGAAAATCTGCAACTACTATTAAGTATTTATTAAGTAAAAATGAGTGCAAATAATAATGCAACGGAAAGTGGACAGGAGAAAGTTCTATCAGAAACTAATGTGCAAACTGTCCCACAAAACTTGACTACGATTCAGAATATACAGGCCGTTCAGAGTATACAAAGTGTACAAAATGCAAGTAATATTCAGAGTATTCAAGCTGCGCAGACAGTTGCTGGACAAACGACAACATTAGGAAAATCCATATCCTTGGAACTTAATTCTAAGCTTTTGATGAAACCTTCGGTTCCTTCTAATATTGGCACATCGGAAAACAATAAAATAACAACTAGTACGGTATGAAGTATTAAATGTCATTTTGAAAATTTAAAATTTTGACTTGTTCTAACCTAAAGAAAAATTTTATTTTATCCTTGAAGTATTTTATAAGTAAAATTTTAAGCAACCAAAAATTATGATGTTTGTAAGAAATTGTAACGAAGCATATTTAATTATACTAATGATACTACTAGTGTCAAAAATTGATAAGATATTGTTATTTAATATTATTGAAATAACGATACACCTATTTATTATTATAATTAACTACAAATCATTTGATAATTTTTCCAATATAAGATAAATTTAATTAAAACAATCCAGACATAAGGAAGAAATAAAGCAATGGCGATGATTTAATTTACAGTTTTGCCCGGTTGGATCTACAGTACGAATAATTGCACCGAGTATGTTGAGTACGATAGATCGTCAGACTAATCAATCGCAAATTCAGCAAACCACCCAACAGACGCAACAAATTGTAACGAGCATTCCGTCGACCTATCACGTGCCTCGTGGGCCTGCAGCAGTAGCTAATATATCAACACCAAGAGCTACCGTTGCGACTCCGCTAGTTAGGGCCATTAGTACAGGCCAGCCAATACCAATATCCAGAGCAGGGTAATTATATATTTACAAATTTAACGCAATTTTTGTAATTAACAACACATACATTGTTTTAATTTTACTTTTAAGTCTAATTACAAATTTTTCATTTGCACCACAACTATAAAATAATTATAGAAATATTATTTGAAAAATTATTTGAGAAAAATTCTTAAACAACATCACTATTTTGAAATGCAGATTAAAATTTCTATAATGTATTTTACAAATTGTCTTAATATAAGAAAGAGCATAAAATATTATCAAAAGATACTAAAAAATCTATATATTTCAAATTAATATTCTATATATGTCTAATAATTTACATAATTTTTATTTCCAAACAATTAGATGTATTAATTGCGATACATGAATAAACCTTCAATATATATTCGCTCAAAAAAATAAAGAAAATAGTGCCACATGAATTTTGATGATTTTTGAGTTGCTTGTCAACAATAATTTGGTAACAAAGGCCGTATAAGCATAAAAATTGAATAAGACGAGACTTGTGGCATAAAATTTTAACATTCAATTACCAAGCTTGTAATAATAATAATAATAATAATAATAATAATAATAATAATAATAATAATAATAATAATAATAACAACGCATGGCAAACTACAAAACAAGTGACAGAAGTTTCGATTACGAAAGATTTTATGCATAAAATCTTTAATATATATATGCATACATACGTATGTACATACATGTCGATATTTTAAGGCGAAATAAATGAAACTCCGTTATTTAATACCATTGGAGATAATGAATTATTTTAGTTTTCATTTTCATATAAAATAAAACTTACTTTGTTAATTAATATATTATTAGTGCTGTACTTGCCAACAATTTGTTTTATCTATAAATGTCAATAAACATCATTTCAATACGCGTATTTTACAAAATATACTTGAACGTTCAACAAAAATCTTCAATTCATCGTCCGATTGAATTTTCTATTTTGTCTCTGCTTTGAACAAAAATTTAATCATACACAGGTCGAGTAACATATTTCTTTAAGAAAAATTTTAAAATATAAGCCTCCAGAATATTTTCTTATAACGCAGATACACGTAGTTGCTGCCTTATGCTGCATGACTCATATTTCTGAGGGGCGCACGAAAGTTTGACTTTTATCATCTCGTTGTTTTCCTGGCCAAGTGCAATACTACAAGTCTACAATTATTATAAATATTCTTTTATTTTTAATATGAAACAAAAATTCATAGTTGTTTAAAATATTGTCATTTTAGTTATAATTTGTCAAGAGATGTATAAAATCTAAAATCATATCGAAATAACACGAAATATTTAGCTTTGACATACTCCATGTATTTTATTTAATTACTAGCTATTAATTAATATTTGACTGAACATACACATTTTTCTTCGTTTTTTTCTGTTTTTTTTTCTCTCTTCACATTAGATAATTATTTGGACCAGGTTATTAAAATATTTTATAACTTATTAGTGCAATTAAATGTATATTAATGATCTAAAACGCTTTCTAATATACGTATTTAATCCAAAAACAAAATTAAAAAATTCGTTTTATCTACCGACACTTGGCCTTACGCTATTTATTAAATATATTTAATAAATGAAATCCTACCATAATAATATAATTATAAGATCTACAGTTTAAATATCCATATGTAAAATTCACTGTACACTCATATACTTTAAATTATAATCAATATTCTCTAATTGAGCTTCTTTTATTTAACTTTTAAAACCTTTTCTGCTCTTATTTCATAAGGGTCTTACTCATTATTGTTAATGTAATCATTCATGTGTGCATGCGCGTGTGTATGTGTTTGCTTGCGTGCGTTTAGTAATCTGCCATCATGTGCTGGGCATCGTGGATCAACACTCATTAATATTTCTACACCGAGAGCCTCCGAAGCCTCTACACATAATAGCGCTATTGGTTTTGGTAAACCGCTCCCCGATCGCAAATCTCGGTAACTAGAATTTTTCTATTATTTTTCTTTTTTTTAGTTTCATCATTCTTCATGATTATTTTTTATTTTATCGCAAAATATAAACCATTGAGTTTTTCTATCAAAGAATAAATATCTCTTTATGTAATTGTGAATATTGTGAGCTTGTTGTATAACAATTAACTTTATATGCCTTATAGCATTACTTATTCCATGTTTTCGAATTATTAATTTTGACAATCCCGTATACTAATATTTAACTATTTCAGTCAATAAAAATGACAATGTTGCTGTTAATGCTGTTAAAATCATACCAAGAATAATAGTTTGAATATCGAACTCGCTCTTGTCATTGAATATAAGCATCGATTTTAAATACTTGGGTGGGAGGCTTTCCACGATGTGTAACTGTTAATACATAATAACTTTAGTATTTGGTTGTTGCATTTTTATCAAACTGCTATATTAGTTTATAAACAGGTAAAATCACCTTTCACCGCAAAGTTAATTACCGTTTGAAACTTTGATGTTCATTAGCGGTTAAAGCGTCGAAAGGCTATCGTTAGTCGTGCATATTAATTTTGAAGAATGAGAATGACTTAGTAGAGTCGTTAAAATATTTTTGTTATACGCAATACATTACTTGTAGAAATCACTCGTAAGATTTAATCATTCTTTTGAAACTTTCCGAACAAGTAATAATGAATTAAAAAACTATTTGATACGGCTTTTTTAGGTGCATGTGTCCTGGAGTACAAAAAGACCATTCAGAATTTACGAATTTAATGTACGTGGATAAAATTACGAGTAAATGACATTCAATATTCAACAATAGCGTCGAATACATGCAATGTAACCGCTGTAATACCACTTACCTACGTAATACTTACGAAATTTCCTTAAGCAACAATTTCATGTCCGTTGTTCCCTTGAAAAGTTGCTGAAGAATCCACTTGTCCCACCTTTTCATTAAATAAGCATTGACAAGACAAGTGTCATTCTAGATCATTGGAATATCCTTAAAGTTCATGAATATGCCATCGGCCCGCGTAGCCAAGGGCGCATTCGCCATAATTACGTGACGTCCGGTGTCTTTCCTCTTCCAGGGTAAGCACGACAGCCTCCAACAGCCAATGGCAGCCGAAGACAACCTCGGTGGTGTACGCACAGCCCCAGCGGCACCCTGTCCCAGTGGTAAACAGGCCGGCTACGAGACCCGTCGCGGGCACCGGTACCGTCTACGCGGGTCAGGCCCAGACCCAGGTCCAGTCTCCAGCTCAATCTCAAGTCCAACAGCAGCAGCAAGCGCAACCGCGACTCGTAAGCCCGAGCCAAGTTGGTAGGCCCGTCCAAGCCACGGTTGTCACCGCCACGCCCTCGCGTCTCATAGCCCCGGTGCTCCAGGCGCAAAACAACATCGCCCGGTTGCCGGCCCCGACAAGGCCGCCCACGCCCCAGGTTGTCACGAATATACCCCAGGTCTCGCAAACCGGGAGGTCCGTCGCACAGTCGATACAGGTTGAGTACCTGCCCAATTGGAGTATTTTTTTTTTATTAATTTTCCAATCGATCGGATGCAATGAGCGCGCTGATGGGCAGACGAGAAATTACGTGGATTGCCGAGAGTATGTCTACATTATGAGCTAGTGTCTATTCTAAAATTCTAAAATTATTGCCTAATATCTTTATTGCGTGGGTGAAGGAGAGTACGAATTTACAGCCCTTTAAACGACTAGTTGGTATGAGAAAATATCAAAGATATCCGCCCTGTTTGACCGTTAAATTAGATACGTATAATAATATTGATAAGAAATAATGATAATTATAGCAGAAATACATTTTTTAAACGTTGAGTGATGTTTTTCATAAATTATTGAAACTAACGGAAAAGATGCTTTCTAATGAACTCAACATAAATTTAGTTTGAAATCGAAGCAATTCACCCGCGCGTATTTTACATTCTTTAATTCTTAATTTTCCTTCTTATTTATTTATTTACTTTTTTTTTTTTTTTTTTTGCGACAGCGCAATGCGAATACTTTAATGATCGTTGTTTCAAAAAATTGTAACGACATTTGAATTTAGGGACCTTTACCATCACTGTCCGGACACTTCGTGTTAAAATCCTCCCTTCATCTCCAAATAACTGACCGATTAAAAAATTTTCAGCCTAATCAAACGAGCAGAGCCATAAGCAGTGCTCCAATAAATCGAATTGCCGTGGCGGCTCCAGTGATAGGTGCGCCAAATAGAGTAGCTACAGTAACTTCTGTACAGACGACTGTTGGTCGGCAGTTAACCATCAACACTGTCGCTGGCGCATCCACTGGTACCGTTAGTCGTATTGTCATCCCGCAACAAGCCGTGAGTATCCTTTCCATGTCCTTTTGCCGACTATATTCTTATAATAATAACAATGACAGCGACGACGACGACGACGATGATAATAATAATAGTAATAATAACAACAATAATAGTAATAATAGTAACAATAACGATAATGATAATAATTCAATGTATATTTCAATATATTCTGTCACGATTTATAAAATAATGAAACAACGGCTCGTTGAATTTCACATTAAAATTATTGCCTTTATGTTGTCTGTTTTATAAAGGACGATTTGAGTTTTTATAAAAATTATATGACATATATTTTCCATAGTATCATTCAATTTAAATATGAGTTTTATTCTCTTCTCTATTTATGAATATTAGAATGTTCACGAAATTTGCTTGATTATACTTAAGGAAATTCGGTGTCTATTTATTGATAAAACAATTTTAATCAGTTTAATAATTTTAGTTCTAAATGAACCGAAGAATAATTAACTTTTTGCGTCATAATGGCGTTGAGTTGAAAACCCTAAGTTATCGTATTACAATCGTAAATCGTCGTTTATCTTTGTTATTAAGGTAATAACATTTTTAATGTTACTTTGCACTATTAGTGCCATTAAAATGAGATAAAATGAAAAGCAGCGTTAGAAGTAAATCTCTAACTTTCAATCAATGATTGCCGTCAAACTCAGATACAGCAGCAGCAGCAACAGCAGCAGCAACAACAGCAGCAACAGCAAGGGACGTCGCGAGTGGTACAGACGGTGACGCCCCTGACGAACTTTGGACAGGTTTCAAGGGTAATCGCCACGACGTCGACGAATGCGGGCGTCGCGGCAAACGTAACTCGCGTCGCCCAGACCGGACCCACCTCCGTCGCTCGTATCACCAGCATGTCCCTGCACCCGCTACCCCTTACGCCGGCACGCGTTACTCCGACGCCCCTCAAGGTCACTGCTCAGGCGCCCGGCATCCAGGCTGTCCAGCTAAAACAATCTACGGCGGCTATACAACAACAGCAGCAACAACAGCAGCCGCAACATCAATCTCAGCAACAGCAGCCGCAACCGACCCCGGTTCTACAGAGGACAATCGCTGGCGTAAACAATGCTGTCAATGCCACGTCAACGAGCGTTGCTAGCCAGCAATCTGCCCAAGTGCAGGGACAGTATCTTCATCCTCCTCATACAACTACATATTATTCCATCGAACCGTCGGGTAGGTTGTAAAAATTTTATTAGTCCAAGTCAAATTATCTCTTACATTTTGTCTAATAACGAATACTAATTTGATAGTCAAGATTCTTCACTTATATAATTTTAGAGCTCGTTACATTGTTAGAGATTTTTCAGTCATAAAACAAATACTAAGAAAACAAATAGCTTTATATTTAACATGTTTAATTTATTTATAATTACGATATAAATATCTTAAATATCTGTCATTTTCTCTCGATGAATATAGGATATTTTGCGGATGATGCTTATAACCGCTTTGCAATGTCTGGCATCAATTACGTAATGTTTAGACAAATTTTTGTGTTATTTCACAATAGCGTCAGTTTTATAATTCAATTACATTCAAATTATTTCATACATTCAACTTTTAACATAATTGTATGCATTTTTATATTTTACTGTAAAAATGTTGCAGGTACGTATTCGCAGTATCGTCAAACTTCGGTGCAACCAGTCCGTTTACTAGTTGAGCAAGGATTTGAAGAGCCCCTTGGCAAACCAAATGCCTCACCCAGGCCTAGTATATTAAGAAAAAGAGATCACGATAGTTCTCCAGGAAAAGGTATTTAAAAAAAAAAAAAAAAAAAAAAAAAAACTCGTATCCGAATTATATGCGAATTAACTGTTCTAACAATATCGTGCGAAATGAATAAAAATCGATCAATCTATAATCGATATATTATTGTTGTATTTTAATTCTATTCTCGTTCAAAAAATAGAGTGCTATTTTATGACAGTAACACTTTTCATTTAACAATTTCAAAATTATTTGATAACATTTTTTGAGCCATAATTTTTTCCCATAATTACATAAATCTTAATTTCAACCAGGCATAGCGAAGAACTTAGTTCCCGTACTTTCGGCTCTTC